CTATTCCAGCTCATTGGTTAAAGTATGTATAATTGATTAATGGAAAAATAAAAACTTTTATACTAGTAATTAATGTAAATATAAATAAAATAAAATTTAATAATTTTCACGCTAGAAGGAGGGTTTGAACCTCCGACCTTGTGGTTAACAGCCACACGCTCTAACCAACTGAGCTATTCCAGCTCGTTAGTTAAAATGTGTATAAGTAATTAGTGGAAAAATAAAAAAAATAAAAAATAAAAACTTTTATACTAATAATTAATGTAAATATAAATAAAACCAAATTTAATACTTATCACGCTAGAAGGAAGGCTTGAACCTCCGACCTTATGGTTAACAGCCACACGCTCTAACCAACTGAGCTATTCCAGCTCGTTGGTTAAAGTGTGTATAAGTGATTAGTGGAAAAATAAAAAAGAAAACTTAAAATAAAAACTACTGGACAAGTAATTAATTTAAGCGTGGATAATGCAATTAGTGAAAAATAGAAATAAAACTAAATCTACAATCACTCGGTCTAATATACCAGTAGAGAACTAGGTAATGTTTTGATTTGTAAAATAAAAAAACATTCTTGTGCACCATTGACCTTCTTCGAGTTTCTTCCAAAGAGATTTGGATATGGAAGCTGAGACACCTGAACTGAATCAAACATGATGTCACGAGTATTGAGCGGAAGGATAATTATATGCAAGGAAAGTTGTAGTTTCAGGGAAGGTAAAAGAAACCAAATGCAAGGCTAGATGTTGGTTTTAAAAGTTTCATGTCAAAAAAGGAAAAGAAACAAAGAACACTGGAAGGAGGGATGTTCGTTGTAGAAAATTACCAACAAAACTAATTCAACCAGTATAAATCTATTATGTCAATTCACAATTGGATGGTGTTTGGCTTCACAAAGTAAAGTTTTGTATCAATCAAAGGTGATTTGGAAATGTATTCAACAAACAAAATTGAGCGCATCATAAGACAACTAGGCATCTTTGGTAAGATAAAATTCAACAAAAAAATGTACCAAATGATTACCAGGTGATGGATTGAAAACCGTATTGTTTATAAGGAGAAATATTTAGCAAAGTACAGATGAGTTAAGAGTCGTACCCATTCTAGTGGTGCTACAGAGCTGCACCATTGGCCTTCACCAAGTTCCTTCCAAAGAGATTTGGATATGGGGAAGGCCACGTTGAGTCACTAAAAGAGAATCAAACATGGAAAATTATAATATACAAGGATAGTTATATACAAGGAAAATTATAGTGTCACGTAAGATAAAAGAAACTAAATGCAAGATTAGATATTCTATCTAGAAACAAAGAGCAGGAGGGATGTTCTTTGTAGAAAATTCAAATTCGATGAGTATAAAGCTACTATGACAGTTCACAATTAGATGATGTTTGGCTTTATAAGGTAAAGTTTTTTATCCATCAAAGATTATTTGGAAATGTATTCAACCAAAAATTTCATCATAAGACAACTAGGTGATCTTTTGTAAATTAGAATTTAGAATTTAACAAAAAAAAAATCAGTGTATCAAATGATTACTAGGTGACCTTTGATCAGTCAAATAAGTAATACTATTGTTTGCTAAGAAAAAGGATTCATATTCGGTGTAAAGAAGTAAAGTTCTAATCCTTCAAGAGATTATAAGGCTGTCAATCTTTCTTTTGATAATTAGGTCATCTTCATTAGGACAAAAAAATTCAACAAAAACTATCAATCTATCAAATGATCACCAGGTGATCTTTGGTAAGATAGAAAACTCATAATATTATTTGCTGAGACAAAAAGTTCATATTTTGTTCAAAAGAAGTAAAGTTCTAATCCATCAAGAGACAAGACTACCAATCCATCCAGTTAGATGATCTTTGGTAGGACAAAGAATTCAACAAAAAGTATCAATCTACCATACAACAACTGTGTATAAAAAATAAACGCTATCTGTTAAGACAGGATTTGATAAAATAACAGGATTTGATAAAATAACAGTATTATGGAAGTAAAAAAAATAAAGAATTAAACGCTAGAAGGAGGGCTAAATTTCTATATTGTTTGCTGAGACAAAAAGTTCATATTTTGTTCAAAAAAACCAAAGTTCTAGTCCATCAAGAAACAAGGCTATCAAAATCCATCTAGTTAGGTGATCTTTGTTAGGACAAAGAATTCAACAAAAAGTATCAATCTACCATACAACAAATGTGTATAAAAAATAAACACTATTTGTTAAGACACAGGATTCAATAAAATAACAGTATTATGGAAGTAGAAAAAAATAAAGAATTAAATGCTGGAAGGAGGGCTAAAGTTCTAATCCTTCAAGAGATTATAAGGCTGTGAATCTTTCCTTTGACAATTAGGTCATCTTCATTAGGACAAAAAAATTCAACAAAAACTATCAATCTATCAAATGATCACCAGGTGATCTTTGATAAGGTAAAAAACTCATAATATCGTTCGCTGAGACAAAAAGTTCATATTTTGTTTCAAAAAGCAAAGTTCTACTCTACCAAGAGACAAAGGCTTGAGAACTTCCGACCTTGTGGTTAACAGCCACATGCTCTAACCAAGTTATTCCATCTTATTAATTAAAAACAATATACTTATTTATTAAAAAACAACATCAGTCATTAAATGACTGTACATTGTTGAAGCCATTCTTTCCTGTCAGCAAAAACAACCTTACCAGGCAAATCAATATCAAACGATAGTCACAAATCCATTCTGAAATGCATTAATTGTGGTCAAATGTCCACAGTAAGAAAACTGGAATTTCAAGAACAGTTCGCATGTACATAATTTTGAGAATCATCAGAAAAAATATACTGAATCAAACACTTATGATGGAGAAAGGTCTAGTTACATGCAACTAATTTTTAGATGGTGATGATGGAGAAATATTTGAGTGAGAATACACTCACGTACAGGTGATCCAAACTTATATTTCGTTTCATCACAGTACGCATACCATAGTTTGTATGGAGAAACCTGTAGCGAAGCTCAACCAAGCCATGTTAAGTTCTTGGATCAGAATCGGACATTCAGGAGGGTGGCGCTGCAGGGTAATTATATCCGTGGAAAGGAATTCTCCTTTCAAGGAAGTCTTGTAGGTCCGTTGTGTTCCTGATCACAGACACATTTAACAGTTTGATAGCCTATTAGCGTACAACCTGATTGTTCTATGGATAACTATATCTATCATGGTCTAACCTCTTTAGGCAGAATGACCTTGGATTCTTGGCTGCCGCATGTAGGCTGAAACTGGTGCTCTGACTTCGTGAAACAACTGCCGAAACATTTTTCAGAGAGGGCAGTCTCCTTCCCCTTCTCCCGCCGCGACTTCCATCACCACGGTCCGTCCCGTCTTCGCCTTCGGGAGAAGAAGGAGACGAGATCCGAGTAAGGGTTTCGAATTGGTGGGACGAGTGCAGGAGGCGGCGGCGGATTTCGCTCCGTGGGGCTCTTCTCGCTCGTTGATGCCATGGGACGGAATCGAAGGGCCAGACCAAAGAGCGCCGTCCTTCTCCCATTTGTTTCCGACTCTTCTTCCACGTAAAGAGAGTGGTTGGGGTGATGAGATACAAATTACGAAACAAATCTTTCCCGCCAACATTGCCAAGGTTTCCCACCTCCTAGTGATAAGAGTCGGGAATTAATTCGGGACATAATGGTTCTTTTGCGTTGGAAAATTAGCAGAATCGTGCTATGAAAGCAAAAGAGACCACAAGCCAAACCTGTTGCCGGAGTGCACCATTTATCACTTGGCCATGTAGGAATTTGTGATGTTGTTTCCCACTTAAAATTTTAATGCCTGGTACGCAAAAAAAGAAAAATAAGGAAATACCTCAAAGTTAGTAGGTGCAAAGATTGAAAACCAGAACTTAAATATCCGGATACTGAAATAGAGATAATAATCACCACTGCTGCCTATGACAGAGATAAGAAAGAACCAATAATTATGCCTTCTGACGATTTTCCACCACATAGCTGCATGAAATGAACAATAAGTACACTTCAGAGAATTCCAGTTTATGAAACATTCAGAACACAAGCTACCATGGCAGACATGAAAAACATAACAGCCCAATTCAAAATGATCTGTGTTAGCCTCAGTAAAAGATAGCTCACCAAAAAAATGGTGATCTCAAGTAGACCTCGAGAATAGCAACAGGGCAAAGATGAAAATTCAAATAAGCAGTATGGTGAAGAAAACACATTGAACGACTGGGAGCAATTTAGGAATTAGCATTGGCTAACAATAAACAAATATAAAGGCTTCTTCTCAGTCAAATAAAGTACCTTAGTACAGGAAATCTCAGGACACAGCGCAGAAAGGAGAAACACGACCCTAAATTGTGCAATAGTCTCCTCCTGGTTACAGAGATCCAAAATCAAATGACCATACATCATCGAAAAGTTACCGCCACAGCTGAAGAAAATAAGGTAAAGCTTGTATGAGACCGCTTATCATTAAGATACTTTCCATGGCGAAGGGGCTATGCGATGTCCATGCCAATTATATGCCTGTCTCATGCCCACTGTTACATATGGAAAACGGTTGGTCCTTGTGAATGCATAATGCAAAACCCCAACAACACATTAACCCAGCAACATGGTCAAATATGCTTACAACATGTTATCCCATGTAACGCTTTTGTTTCTAGGCATTTATGCTATTGAAAGTCCAGTTTGATATACCTGAAGTAATGGCTTGAACTCAACAAACATTTCCAGCTTTTATGACCAACTTTTTCAACACAACCAAATATTTCAAAGCCAGAAGTTCCATTTGTTTGTATAATAGAAACACGGATGATACTTGATTTCCAGTTCAAGAAAAAAGTGTGCTGCAACAATTAACGGAAACGGTCATAAAATTAATTGTCAAATATGTAATCATGCAAGAATAGTGAAGAAAATTTTATGGAATTGGACATCATTTGCCTTCCTATAGGTATACTGCTGTTTTTATTGTTTGTTCAACATGTTGATTGTTCAGTTCCAGGAGACACAAGGTCTCTGCCAGACATATCCACATATTTAAAGGTCAAAACAACTATAACTTAGTTGAGGCATTTTATAAACCACATAAAAAGCATCCAGTTGAAGAAACATGAGTAGAAACAACACAGAAAAGGAAAAGAACATGGTAACTTGCTGGAGTTATCTGCACTATTTTACTAGTAAATCACATGCTCCAACTGGTTCCAATGAAAGATTCAGCAAGAAGATAACCAACAGTGATCTTATAAATGGAATTGTACAGTGAGCAAAAAGGTCTACTGAAGAAAAATATATTGAGGCAGTTTACAATCAATAAGTTATGGCTAAACAATAATTATGACTACTCACACTGGCTGTCCGAGGCAGGAAAAGGTAATATCGTTGATGATAGCTGAAACAATCACAATTACTAAATCTGAAATTAATCTGCATGGAACAACTAAAATTAGCTATATCATATACACAAATATATACGGCCACTTGCACATAGACACACATACATATACAGCCACTTTCACACAAACACACACATATACATATACTCATGCATTTATATAAATCCATTTAAAAATTAATCAATTCGACCTTCAATCTACTTGGACAGTCGAGATAGTAATCTATATTTATGTGACAATCGTCCAAACAAGTTCCTCTATTTTTTTTCCGCAAGAAGCTCAACAAAAATTTGTATACCCCCTTCTACCCTTTTTCTCTCTCTGTCATCCACTTTCCTTCTATGTACCTCTTTATCTCTTCATTTTTCCCTCTTACTCCTCTTGTCTCTCTCATCCATCTCCTGTATCTCTCTTTTCCACTGTACATATACTTATTTCCCATTCTCAATTAACACTAAAAATAAAGAACAGAGATGAACTCCTTATCGGAATCCACTGCTTGTTGCTTGTTAACTGACAGCTTCGTACCGGCATGTGCTTTTTGAAGCTATTTGTTCAGATTAATCATACCTAATCGAAACTTCTACGATATCATATTAATAGGGGCTGTTTGTTCAGATTAATAAAACTTAATCTGAACTTCTATGAAATCATATTAATATAGAAGCTCTCCAACCGACCCTGAAGGAATCAAGAACTATATTACCATAATCCTACACGAATATAGGATCCTTCCTCAGGCGATCAACTATTATTTCTTCTAATCAGGGATACTCAATTTTTTGAAGATCCAAGAAAGAGGATTCCCTAAAATCTTTAGTACAAAAGCGGGATCACAAAGCTCCAGTGCAACCAAAACAGAAAAGAAAATAAGGAAGATACGAACGTGACTGTCTGAAAACTTCTTCTCGATCACTTGATCGAAGATCTCGGCTATTGCTCCCCTCGCTGGAGCTACTGCGACAACCACCAACCGGAGCGCTCCTCGTGCCGGATCTACCGCGGCGGCCGTGAAAATGGGGGTTTCGCCGATAAGCGGGGACAGAGGAGGAGCGAGAGGTGATCTTGGAACCCGAAAGCGGCATTGGGGAAGAGCAGGGGACGAGGGTTTGGAGCGAGATGAATTGGGGGAAAAGACAAAGAAGAGTGGGAAGCTCGCCAACTGAAAGCGCCTTGACAGTTCACACGGCTCGCCATTGGAAGTTAAACCGTTACGGTCAGGGACCACTCACTGTTCGGGTCCACGGATCCAAGAATGAGCGGATCCGGATTGTCCATCCATTCGACCCGTTAAGAAGTATATTTATTCGTCGTATATCAGAGGAAGTTCTACAGGAGAGATCACCAAAACAGTCCGACGGCGACAGGTAGATGTAAGTTGTGAGGAAGACAACGAGATTGCTGTTGGTCAAAACAGAGGCCAATGCCCAGCCGGAGGACGGAGACGAAGAGGTAGTTGATGGGCAGGCGGAGGTAGGACTGGAGGAAGAGATCGGGGAGGCAGGCGCGGAGGTAGCGACAGCGGCGAGCGCAGGGTCTTGGTGGAGGAGGAGGAGGATGGGGCGGAAGTAGTACCAGAGGATCGCGATGGGAACGGAGGTGGAGAGGAGGACGAGGATGGCGCGGTGGAGCGCCAGGCCGAGGAGGTGGTGGCGCCGCGCGCCAAAGGCGAACCTGGAGACGACGGAGTATCCGGTAATTCTGTAACAACCCAATTAGTTTTGCATTGAAAATAAAGAAGGATTAAGGTAGATTTATTATAATTAACATAAGAGGTATTTTAATCAATGGTTTAAACTTAATAAAATTAAAGAGTCAATTATAGCATTTGGATTGGATTGTCACAAATGATGCCAAAAATGATTTCGGGCTATGTTGATCCGTCGAGTTCTAAAATATAAAAAATTATAATATATGATTAGAATAAATTAGATGAGACAACTATTGTTAATTTGGTTTAAGTATTTTGGACGGATGATTTAGATTAAACAAAATAATAGATTAGTTATCCTATGAAAATTTTGTGACAAATGTAATTAAAATCGTTATTATGATACTCCCCCAATTCCACATCAAGAACAAGAACGAGAGTGACATGAAGAAGCAAGCGATAGTGATAGGGTTCAACAAGCAACAGAGAAGCTTCTGATATTTAAAGGAGCCCGTGGAGTGTCGCCATGGTATGTATTCACGGCCACCAACCCTACTCCAAGATTGGCTCCTTGGAATCTCCATCCGCGAGTGAGTGAGTGATTACTTGATGTGGATGTGTGATTCAGATGGCAAAAGTTCATCTGAAAGCACCCAAAGCATGTCTTCCTAATCCAACTAATTTGCATCCCAAGAGTCTTTTTTTGTCCCAAAAGAATTCAAAATAAAGTATATTAATAATGTCACAAAAGCAAAGGGTACAATGAAACATAAATCATAAATCATAACAGATCGAGCATGCCGCATGTTAGTGTTTGTTAGAAAAGTTTATTGTTGATGTCACTGTAAGTACAATGTGGTCCTGATCCAAGTGCCAAAAGTCATCCGGAATAAAACAGAGATTTCTCAACTTTGTTCTTGCATAAAGATCGAGGTTGAGAAGGTTCTCCCAAGTCGATCTCCTCGACGTTAAGTTAGTAGTCTTATTTTTTCCTCTCCTTTTTTAGAAGCTATGAACGTGTTTTTACACTAAACCTCAAGCATATCGGGTTGGCTTGTAATGAATCTGAATTGACCATTAATCTTCTTGGAATATTTTTATGGATATTTCGCGAAGGAGATAACTCATAATTGATCTGAACTATTCCTTAATCTTCTTGAAATATTTTTACGAATATTCCGTAGGGAAGCTTATTTATAATCGATCTGAATGGTCCTTTAGTCTTCCCAAAATATTTTTTTACGGATATCCTATAGAAGAGCTAATTCGTAACTGATTTGAACCATCTTTTGATCTTTCTAAAATACATCTCGATAACTTGATAGCTCGAAAATTGACCCAAATCATTTTTCAATATCTAAGAGAAGATTGATCTATATATGATATGCTGATACGATGAATGATGATCGATTCGTCTTATATTGTTTATCAATATCTAATTTGATAAACAATTGGATGTGACAAAATTGATCTAACCAAATCTAATCTACTTTTTCGAATCTTAATATATATAGAATCGAATCACGAGATATAAATAAACTAGTTTGATGGTTATAGCACTAGAATAGAAGGATTCTCACGCGAAGTTTAGTTTTAATAAAATTATTGATATGATATGATCGAATAATCGTCATCATTCTATGATATGACAAGGTTTACGATATGAAACATCATAGTTGGAATTAAGAAAATATTTTCCCTACGATTATTTTTCATCGATTGGCACCATCTTAAATTGTTTATAATATCTCTACCAATATTCAACAAAAACCATGGTGAATTCATCCAACACCCAACCACTGACATCGCCACCGACACCATCCGAAAGAGACACACCAACAAGACATCCTCCGACGAGGTAGCAGTTGCATGATCAGTGCAGGTGAAGCAGAGTGATCACCTACCACTGCCGAGACGACTAATCGTGGCCTTTCAGTTTCATGTCTTGGCTCAGAGACTACGAAGCAGCATTCAAGCTCACAGTGATCGGGAGATTCCGACACATCTACGAGAAAGACATGGTAGATATGAACAACTCCTCTCTTCTTCCTGGAGTCGATGAAACATCGTTCGTTCTGTACAAGATCAGAGATGATGAAGCATTCATCACCCCTACTTTCTGATGAACAAGCCCCTCAGCTTCCTCCTCTCTAATCTTTCAAGTAGCTTCTTGGCACCAGCTATGTCTGATTCACAGAGCTTCTTGAGAAACCCGACGGCGCCGTAGGAGATCATCTGTTTCTTGCACCTCTTGCTTGACGACAGGGAGAGGAGACAAGCGACTGCGTACTTCTTTGCTGTGTTCTGAGGACTCGGATCCAGCAAGCGAACGAGATTGGCCACGCTCTTCTCCTCCTTCTTGAGCTCCCGCTTGTTCTGCGGGTGGCTCATCAACCCCGAAATGGCCTGCGCAGCGACCTCCCTCGCGGTGTTCGCCTTGGCGTCGAGCATCCTGGCAAGCAACGGCACGCAGCCAAGCTCGCCAATCGCCTTCTTCGTCTCGGACGAACTCGATATCCTGCAGATGATGCCGGCTGCCGCCTGCCGTGCGCCGAGAGATCCATCCTTGAGTACGTGGACTAGCCGAGGAAGGACGCCCAGCGACATGAGGCCGTCGACAGCGACGGAGCCGATCAGGTTCCTCAGCGCGCACACCGCTGGTTCCTGCGGCAATGGCCCGTCCATGTAGGCCAAGAGGCTAAGCGGTCCTCCCTCCGAGACGACTGACCTCCTTAGGTCGTCGTTGATGGCGGTGAGGTTCTGCAAGCACTCTGCGGCGTACTCCTTGGAACCAAGAACCATCCCGCAGTTGAGGAGATCGATCATGACTCTGATGATGCCTTCGTCCGCTAATGTCTGCCTGACATCGGGCACTGCTGAGAGATTCCTCAGCGTCCCTGCAGCCGCTGCTTGGCAAATGGAGTCTCCTATCTGGCAGATCTCGATCAGCACCGGCACACCTCCATGCCCGACTATGGAGCGGGCGGTGTCGGCGGCCATGGATAGCCTCTGCAGAGAGACCACTGCCTTCTCTCTACATACCAGACTTCCAGATTCTGCAAGCCTGATTAGAGGTGGAAGCACTCCTTCCGAAACCAGTAGCTTCTCGCAACTCCAAGACTCCGCGAGCAAGCAGATCACGGTGGCTGCCGTCTCTCTGGTCTTCATGGAGTTCGCGCTGAGCAACCGTATCAGAGCGCATATATTGCTCCGGCCGAGTGCAGCGAGCACGCTCTTCTCGTCCTCCCTCATCGCTTCAAGGAGGCCGTCCACGGCCCGGTGCTTGGCCTCGGCATGGCCAATCTGCAAGCGGGCTAGCAATTCACGCACGCCGTCCTGCGTCGGCGACTTGGTAACACTCGGGGACATGGCGGTGGCGGCGGCGGCGTCGCCGAGGACCCCGGTCTTCACCAGCAATTCACAGTCGTTGAGGAGGACGTCGAGCTCGCCCGACAAGGCGTCAAGGTCGCTCTGCATCCGGAGCTTCCCCGAGCAAAGCGGCTCTGCGGAACAGCAGCGGCCGGCGAGCCCGATGGCTTCGGCGACGGTCTTCGTCACCGACTGTAGCAGTTCCTTACAGAGCTCGTTCTTCGCGAAGCAGGGGTGGCTCGAGAGGTCGGAGAGACACGGCGAGACGCGCTCCAGCTTGGAGATTATCGATTTCCATCTCCCCGGGAAGCCGGTGGCGGCCCGGGCCTTGTCGAGTGCCGCAGGGACGAGCTGCCGCGCTTGGCATAGTAACTGCCCGGCGGAATCGGCTTCCTGTGTGGGCTCAGATTCTTCGGCCATGGATAACAGGCAGCGTCTGCGATCTGAAATGGATACAGCAACGAGAGGACAGTAAAAAAAAACACTTGGAGGGGACGTCGGAATCGAATCGTTTGTATGGGGAAAAGGGGAAGGTGGCTATCTATGATGAGAGATGAAGCTGGAAAGAGTAGATTGCTACCATAATATAAGAGATTGCTAGGAAGGTAAAGATTGTTTGCTAAGCTTGTGGGAATCGTTTTCAGATCATATGAGGCTCGTTGGTTGATAACAATGTCCGACCAACCAAGTCAAGAACAAAGAATAGTTGCTGTAATCTCTGAAAGTTGGTAGCTTCAGACAATTTACCATGAGGAATACAAGGCCAAAGATTGATGTAAGCATCAGGCCTCACCCCCATTAAACTGTTAAGCTTACTGTTCTTTGCCGGGATTGTCCAATCCAGTGCTTCAAAAAGAAAGTTAGCTACTGGGTGAGGCGTACAAAGTACAAACTCTCCCCGCTTCTTTTTCTAGTTCTTTCCATTTAGCTGTGCCACACACCTCTCTAGGCCATGATAGCTGTGCTACATGTCTTCAAGTGGGAGCCTTGATCTAAGGGGTATTTCTATGGCTACAGAATTGGAGAAGGCCATTCAAAAAGCTCGGCGAGAAGCAAACATATGCATCCAAAGACGAGCTGCCTGCACGTGAAGCAGGGCTTGTGTTTAGCTGCTGCTAAAGGCTGGCCGAGAGAGGGACAACGCTGTGCTTTCCTAAAAGCCCAACCACGAACAAAAAGGGACCACTACACTATAGAACTCTCGTACCCGATTCAGATCCGGTTGAATCGAACCGGACCCACAAATTCAATCAAATTAAATGGCGTTAATTAGCTTCAAACACCACGGCGAGCGGCGAGCGGCGAGCGGCGAGCGCCGCGGAGGATTCAACAAGGGAGAGAAGGCTTGGCTTAGAAGAGAGGAGAAAGGAGGCGGAGGAGGCACCTTGCTTTGCTTGAGCTACAAGCGAGACGAGAGGAGAAAGCTTTCACGCGAGGAGCAGAGGCTAATTTGGGGACGAAGCGACGCCCGAGGAGAAGCGAAGTATGCGAGCGAACCTTATCCTTCGCCTTCGTCTGTACCACAGGAAGAGGAGAGGGGTGTTAAACAAGACGAAGACGGTAAGACCGAGAGAGGGAGTTGAAACTTGAAGGCGTAAAAAAGAAGTGTTAACCTCATTCAAATCTCAGTGGCATCTTGAAATAGCAGACAGGATCCCGGATCTCGAGGTGCGTGAGGCATTCTCCCTTCATCAGATGCAGTAAGAACCGTTCATTCGGCTCACGTGCAATGCACGTTCAGAAAAAGGAGACATGGCGTCGAGACCGCCACAGCAGCAGCAGCAGCATTTCTGGTTCTGTGAAAACCACTGTTTCTTGGCTTTAAATAAATGACTTCAGATCATATTTCTTATTCTGGTCTTTTATTTAATAGTGACAGTATATGACAGTCAATAAAATTGGCAACCAAAATATATTTTATTATGGTTGATAACAAGGGCCTCAACCTAACTATCTCTAATCATTCATAAAGTATTCTTGCATCAACCCATCAATCACTAGACACAAGAACAATGCCTTTATAATGAACACTATAAGAGCAGGGAAAAAGAAAAAGCCCTACAGAAACAGAATCTGAAGGCAAAGCAGCAGAGATGAAAGTTAAGAAAAGCACATACACCTGTGAAGATAAGTGACTGTGAGTCATCATCAATTATATCAGAAGGGCTTGCACCTGAAACTTTTAATTCCTTCCACATTCAGTACCAATGTGCAAACCTGTAAGAGGAATTTAAGCATCCAGACGGATGACAGAATGATTCATTCTTCATATGTATGATATCATGGTTTGATAATTCAAAGAACCCAACAAAATATTAACTTCATGAACAATCCATCAGCTACCAGAACCAGGAATCCAGGAATGGACAATCTTTCGGGAAAGTGACCACCATCAGAATCATCACCATAATCTTCCTCATCGGAAGAAGAATGTACAGGTCTCAGCGGTGTACTTAAGAATCGTGGTTCCACCACCTGCCAGCTCCTGGATTCATCAGTCTGGCTGCAAACGAATGCCAGGAAACATCTCTGTGATCTTAGCTTCTGCAGTTCCAACAGGTACTGTGCCACACTTGGACTGTGGGAAGTGCTTCAATACCAAACTTCCCGAAGCATCGTCAATTTCAACTTCAAAAAATGGAGAAAGTGGGCTTCCCATTACTTGCACATGGCATACACTTCAACATGCAATAAGAACATGAAAGACCAGTTCAGTAACATCCATCATAATGTTAGAAAAGAAAATCATCATAATCTATGTTTATATCAACTTCCACAGTAGTTATGCAAAGGCAGTTAACTTGGAATTTCAATATGATATTGAGCATCCACAACTCAATTCAATTACTAGATCTATTCGTTGTATGCTCGAAGGCATCATATAGAACCCTTGTAAACCACTCCTTCAAATGGAAAGTCCAATTTCACTTTGGATACATGGTCACACGCACATAAAAAGAAAAGCATGGCCCAGACACTCACCATATGTAATACAAATCATCCACTGCTTGCTTCTGGACTCTACCCATCAGTTCAATCTGCAGCATTCCACCAACACAGATAACTGGGTGTGGAAGCTTGAAAGATTGTAATACATTCTCCTGGACAAATAATGATTCAGGTCAAAGTTAGATCTTGCAGAGGCAAATCTTTTACTAATAATTTCATCTTTTTATCCTTCAACTGAAAAAACCAATATGAGTAACTAGAGGCAAATCTTTTACTAATAATTTCCTGTTTTTATCCTTCAACTGAAAAAACCAATGAGTAACTAGTCGCATGTCTCAGATTTTATGACTCAAAGCTACATCTTTTTTAATTAATACATTGACATCAAACACTTCACCCTTTTTTACTTGATGTGATGGTGCTCCAAGAGGAATTGATAAGTCAGAGAAATCCCCGGCTTACATAATGGTTTTATCATCACAAAGCTATGGAAAGCAAACTTTACAGAATTTTCTGGATACAATTATCTACTCCAATACATGTAAAAAGCATATAGACACTTCTATAGATAGAAAAGGAGAGAAGGTAAATCATGATCTCAGTTTCCTTGCACTCTGCATATTTCTATGACATACTGCACACTCTAGCATACATCTTAATGAAGTACCTACAACTGAAGATATCTAAATCATGATCCCGACCACTGCATTTGTGATTTGTGTGCACAACTCTTTTTTTAGACTACTATGTCTCCATAAATTTACATGATTTTCCAATAAGGATATCAATGTATGCTCATATAAAATGAGGCATTTGACCATGTTAGCCACCTATATTTTCAGATAAGAACATGAGTAGCTTGAAGGCTTGAACAATCCTCACCTTGTGCATCATGTACTTCAAAGGCTCAGTATTTCAGATATAGACATCAAAGTAGTCCTGAACAGGATATCCTAGAAAAGCTCCTTACAGAACCTAAACTTAAGTGAAAAAATAAAAAATAAAAAACCTTAAAAAAGAGCATACTATCACCTTCTGGAGCAAAATATAACCAACAAAGCTAAGAAATGATTTTAATTGCAACTCACAATAACTTCTAGACCATATGACTTCACACTTTACACAAGTTTATCTGCTCCCTTAGTGAAACTATTTGCAAACAAGTCTAAAACTATGTTATAAACATGGCTAAGAAAAAGAAACATATGACTTGGGACTTTATATGGAGGTTTATTAGCCTTTATCATTTGAATGGGGACACAGCTCAGAGAATAGCATAAAACTCAAATCACCTGCAATGGAAAATCTGGGAAATGTATGTGTGGTTCTAATTGTCATCAGAAGATCATTATTTAGTTTTCCATACTACGTGGTGAACAACATGAATGGAGTCAAACATATGAACTAGTTCTATATAGATGTTTATTAGCCTTGTAATCTAATAAATGAACCAAAGCATTTAATGCAAGACTGTAGTAAGTTAGGAGAATGTCCGAAATGCTATAAATCACCTGTTCCATTGGAAATTCAGGAGAAACATATGTCCACTTGTCGTAGTCATCAGAAGCTAATTGTTGTTCTTCACAATTATCTGTCCCTTGTCTTAATCTAGAATGGTCCATTCGAAATCGTACAAACTTTGCCGAGTATATGGGATGGTCAGGCTGGAAAAAAGCTGAATAAACATTATGTATTAGAGATACACGAGCAAATAATAATAAGCTAAGCAACAAAATGAGTGCTGTAAATAAAATATCTCAAATCTTACAAATAAAAACCTTTAAATGGCTGAATCTTTATTTCCCTCACAACACAGAGATTGGCGGTTAACCTATAAGTGAGACTCTCAGACACTCCAGGATCATATTGTCCCCCACTTGACCAGTAAGAAGGTCTCTGATCAACTAAATCACTGCTCTCCAATGTGTTCTCAATGCTTTCATCTGGATAATTATCAGTACTGGAAGCACAGACAGCTCGATGAATGCAGTCCCTTTTACCTTCAAGAGAAACAATCAAGTGACATAAAAGCGCATATGCTCTATGCTCTCTCTCCAGGCTTTCCCATTCCAAAGCACTGCTAGACCCCACTTCTGCAATCTTGCTAGTGTTGCTTACTTCAGTGACAAGAGGGAAATTCAATGTGTCCGGACAAAATCTTGAGCATAAAATTTTGCAAAATTTATTTACAATAACTGCAGTACATTTCAAATTGCTCATTAAAATCAATTCTGTAATTTGAACAAGACAATATTTAAAAGAAAGTTGTTTCTAAAGCTTAAGAGTGCACTGATGCACATACAAGCAAAAAACACCCCATCAGATATTACATAGTCTCTTAGTGTTTATATGACAGAAGAGACTGAAACAAGAGACTTGCACGAGGCATTATATGTGCAAAGCCGATTTCATTGTCTAACCAACAACACCAAATCCATTAGCATTAAGTGTCTGACATTCTGGAAAACATTCTGAAAGTTCCACGGCCAAAATTTGATACATGCCCTTTGGCACACTAATTATTTCACAAGAATCATTGCAACATTATAAACATTATAGATTAGAACTTTCTGTGGGCATATATGAAGGAATTGGACATCTATGAGAGAAGTCACAAATTTTAAGCAGAACCTTATCATTTGTAACTTCATAAAAGCATAATAAGAGTATACATATTTTGAAGTATAAGGATATATATAAACTTTAATTTGATAAAAAAACCAAACGCCACATTTGTATGCATTGGCAAACACAAAACGGAAGGGGATAGCATAATTCCAAGCCAAGCATCAAACAAGAAGTTGTGGAGGAGTGTTGAACATACATTAATGATTTTTAATGTGATCCTACTTTTCCCTTTTAATAACTGCATGCTACATCAGGCTCCCAACTTCCCCTTACCATCCCAAGGAATAACAAGGAAACATAGTGTTCTCCACCAAAATTTCTAGCAAACTCATAAAGACCTTGTATTCAAACACAAATGTGGTAGCTTAGACTAAAATCCTAGTTTCCACTAGCAAGAGCATTTGAAAAACTAAGTATTGAGCTTGTATAACTTTTCATCAAGTACCAAATCAGATAGATAAATAAAACTCAATAATTCATTAAGAAAACTTGCAAGATACTGGGTTACTCTTGTTCGTCAAGTTCATGTTTTGGTAAACAAACTTCCTTAGATAACCAATGCTAATCATACATTCTCCATTCATTACGTTGAAAAAAGTGTAGTCAAACTGGATGCAAGCTTAAAAGCAAATTACTACATAATCAATCAGAATAAATGGTACACCTAGGCATTTTTATAAATAGCTTTATCCTTATGTTACAATTAAGGTGATAGGAAGTAGCTAAGTCAAAGTGACACTAATTACAACTATTTTGTTAAATATTTGATGAAAAGTCATGGACCATAGACAACACGTACAAACTCATGGCAGCCCCCACATTAACTGCTGACAACCATTGATCTTGATGTACATAAAGTAAAACATTTTTGTCTCATACGGTAAAATAACTTTAAATGTTCGACACATCAACAATTATTAGCATCGATCTCTTCATGATGCTGACAACGTTATTAAATTTTTGATGAAATCAATGAATTGCAAGACAATTATTCATTCAATGGCTAGATTGAGAGATTTGAAATATCAATGTCAAGTCAGTTTTCTGGAATTCCTACTAGCCACTAAAATTCAGTGTCCAACCTGCAACAGTAATTTACATGTAGCCCTTGCATGATCTGTTCAGTCAACTATATCAACAAGATTAAGCACTTGGAGAGCGAAAAAAAATCCCAATAATGTCGCATTTAACATTAGTCAGTTTACCTCATAATATTAATCATATCAACTCAAAGCAAGCAAACTTCAGTTTGCAAAAACACCAATGGAAACGTATTTATCCAACACTCGCGAGATGGACATCCTAATACCACTTACTTAATCCCTAATAAACGCATCGATTCTACTTGCCGAAGCGATTATGAGTACATACCGAACCGGCGCAAGGACCAGGACACTGCACTGAGCCGCACGAGATCCGCTGGGTCGTCAAGGAGCGTGATCACGCTGGTGGAGGCGTCCGTTCCCAGCCATTTCAAGAAATCCCAGTAATTCACCATCGCCAATCCTCCTGAAGACACCGAGTCGAACGCATTGCCTCCAACGAAAAACAGAACAAAACAGACGCCAGAAAAAGACAAAAACACAATCGAAAGCGAGATTGTCACCTAGAGAGGACAACGAATAGTAACGAAGACGAAGAACAAGAAGAACAGGAGGAGGAACGACGAGCGAAGCGAAACGACGACAGCAGGATCATTCCGTAGCGAGAAACCCTAGAGAAATTGGGCGACGGGACGAAGTCGAACACAAAAAAACGCTTCTTGAGACGAAAGGGCACGAGAGGGATAAAAACGGGTCGGCGGTAACGGCGACAGACTGAGATCCGTTAGATGGTTGATTTTAAATTGTTAATATTATGATATTTAGACTTCAAAATTTTATATTAATTTTTTTATTATAAAAATAAAAATATTTAATTTTATTTATTCTCGATTTTATCAATAAAAAATATATCATATGACAATACGTATAAAAATGATGGACAAACAGATAAATTTAATGTCCCAATTATGTCTTTGATAGTGACAAATGACAACACCGTTAAGAGTCACGAATGGCTATTGTGGTTATATTTAGTGAGAACGTTGGATACTTCTGTAACTTCTTGTAGAAGATGAGAAGGATAATGAAGAAGAGCGATGATGAAATGTGAGGCAAAAGGAGACGAGGAAGAGGACAATGTGGATGTCAACGTTCTATATTTGCATCGACGCCAACATTGATGTGAGGAAGGGCAATGCCGCTTAGCATATGCATTGGTTTCGACATAGATGTAGATCGATATTGTCTTTTCTCATATTGTTGTCGAGGAAAAGAATAACATAAATGTCGACACTCTACATATGCATTGGCGCCAACAACGATGCGGGGAATGGCGATGTTGCTCAGCATCTATATTGACAATGATGCTAATGCAGAGCAACGTTGCCCTTCCTTGTATCGTTGTCGATGTCGATACAAGTGTCGAGCAACCCTTTCATCGCTTTACATTTGTACCGACACTAACATAATCGTCGAGCGTCGGGATCTACATCGTTATCTTCCTCCACTCATAAATTCACATGTAATATAATATTTGAATGAAACAAGCAAATATTTTTTAAAAAATATATGTCACCCAATATATAAAAATTTTCATATTTTTTTAAACAAATGATCAAGGATAATATTTAATTTTTTTTTATTAATTTTAGTAGTAACTTTTATTGATTAGGTTAACTGTATCTTTAAAAAAATTTGATAAGTAGGTCCGCTGTATCGTCACCACTTAAAATTGTTAACATACATTCACAAATATTATATAAGTAAATTATCATTTTAATTAAGACGTAGATGAGCTGAATAAAAATTGATATTTTACCTTTCTTATTTGATGGTGTCTCCTGAGACATCTCATTTATGCCAAAGTACCCATAAAGCTCTTGAATCGAGTTGTTCGAACCCACTAATGATCGATTTGATCCAATCGCGTCAAGTCGAGTTTGGTTTAGTTGAATTAGACCAGACTGATTAATCTCAAAAATCAATTCATTGATGGATTATCAACATCATTTATGAATTTGATTAAGGACATTTTCGTCGTAGTAAGAAAAAAAAAGGATTACTATTTATAAACCTCATTTTACTATCTACAATCATATTTTAATATATCTAAACTACTCTTTTAAAATATTCCAAAATATCATTCTCTTCTTCCTTTTTTTTTTTCCTTCTATTTATTCTTCCTCCTCACCTTCTTCTCTCATTTTCCTCTTCATCTTTTTCTTCTTCTATCACTTTCACAAATAACTGAGTTGATGACAAAATCATTTACCTCTTCATCTTTTTCTTCTTCCATCACTTTCACAAATAACTGAGTTGATGACAAAAAAAATAAGCTTGGTCAATTATCATTGATAGCCAATAGAGCCGATAACGATTACGTTAACGGAAGATAGAACAATAAATGAGTATACTACAAATGATGGAGAGAGTAAGTATTAATAGTGGTAAGGACAATAGAGTCGATAGGGAGATCCTACAACAATATAATAGGATAATAAAGAAGAAAAAGATAACCACAAAAACGAAATTAGAGAGGTTATCAAGTAAAAGCCCAATAGCAAATATATTTTTAGGTAAACTAATTAATAAAAATTATAATATTTATGCAAAAGGATAAATACAAAAATCATTTAACTTATCCTTCGAGTTTCCATACGAATAAAGAGACAATGAAACATAATAGTTTGCACAAGTAGAATTGGAAAGGACATCAAAAACAAAACAAAATAGCATGGGGATATCATCAATAAGAGACCAACCATGAGGGCCCACCAATGGGCCCCCGAGATCGGATTATGTACATGATATTATAAAGCAATTGTAGTGACAACAATAACGAAATATATTTATTTTTTTTTATCATTTTGCTAATTATCATTAAATTTTGAGTTTTCGTATACAAGAAAAAAGTTGATTGAATTATTTCTTCCAAGTCATATTTATCAATTTTTGATATGAAATTTCATATACCATAAATGTCTTAATAATGTTAGGATAATGTATAGACTCAACAAATGGTTATCACATCAAATTGAATAGTGACAAATAATGCAATCGCATTAATACATGGACTTGATTGATTGAGCTTATCCAACTTGGATCGATAAGTGCCGAATATATTATCACAATAAAACGACAAAAAAAAATGTCGATCGAACTATTCATTGGATAATAATTATCTAACCCCACTGTTTCATTTAGTTTTATTCTTATTTAATAGGCTCAGCAAACCATGACATATACAACGTGAGTCGATCACACATTGTTGACTTATGGGCGATTTCAATTATTGTTCCAACTTTAATGCACATCACCTCATTCACTGTTGGTAGAATAGTCTAATGGATAAGTGGGACATGATTTTTTTTTATTGTTTTAATTTTTAGGGGAGCAATAGATTTGATCAATCATAATTTTCATCAATAAAACCACATAAATCAGGTTTTAACTAAATAACAAAAAAAATAAGTATGTATATTTATTCATATTAATTTTAATTGTATGAGATGTATGAAAAAAATAAATAAGAGATTCGAATGATTCGATAAAGAGTCTCATATGGACAATGATATAAGGTTCAAATATTCATGTTTTATATCTTAAATAAATAAATATATAAATATATATAATATTGTTTATCATCTTAATAATTATAATGGTATGAAATATCAATCATAAGTGGTATTTATTTATCCTATTAAATGTAGAATTCATAGTTTAATAGACGAGATGGGATGATATGTAAACGGTAGATAATCGAAACCAGAGATTAGTTACAACTTGAGATACGAAGATCTCTACCTCTCAATGCGATCGCAAGCAACGAGAAACGGGGATAAGCGTACCGCGAAGTACCAACTCGATCGAGATCAGTTGAGTGTCTCCATCGATTGCAATCTGTCGCCCGTTTTTCACAGGAAAGAAGAAGAACGAAAGAGACGCCGTATGTGCTCTCTTGATGGATTAATAATGCACGTTAAAGATCTCTCCATCTCTCTCGATCGATCCTAATTCGAGTATCGAAGAGACATCGACATCGAAATGAGATAAACTCGAGCCGTGTAAAAGGATTCGAATCGACCACAGGAATGGGGTGTGGGGGAAAGCCCACCGTGGAAATGGCCGCCGCAGGAGAAAGAAGACGGCAGCTTTGTTCGGCGAACAGAGGTGCCCTCTCCACGAGATCAGTCGAACACATGGGGTGCCTGTGAACCGTGGCTTCTCTGATAGGGACAATTAGGTTGGCAATGATGCCATGCAACTTTGTCAAGACCGTGGACCAGCTGAGTCCACAGCCCGGGATGTGACCGGTGAACTAAACCACAGCACCGGGTTTAGCTTTCTCATGCTGGTTTTCCACTGCCAGGTGACAAACAAGCGAAGCCAGTGGCTACCGTGATTAGGTGAGCATAATTACCTACTGCCTAAAGATCATGCATGTTGTTGCCTCCCTCTGGATTTATCTTTCGAGAAGGATACTTGATGGTGATGGGCCTGTGTTCATTCTACCTAAACATCACTGATGTTGTTCGTGTCAATGAGTGGCATAAACATGAGGCAGACAGTGGCAAAAGTTGCCTTGCCGGTGAGTGAAGCAATTATGATTGAAGGCCAAGTTTTTGCTTGCATCAGAAGAATTCTACTGTTCTTGCCGTTTCTTGAACTGTGGCGACATCTACAAAAGGCTGGGTCTTGAGATCTTCTTGTTGAGCGTCCACAGGGGAGGTGTTCTTTTGGTATGGTTCACAAGGGGTGCTCAGGAATTGCCTGTCCTGACTCTCCCTCTCTTCATGGGCACACCAAACGCAGCCGAGAATGGACCCCCCCTCATCATTGGGTTTGGTTTGTCCTTGAACTGGATCATCACCCGCTCTGCAACCTTCATGGTGTCCGCCACTGCACCAGATGCAGAACAGCGGCCGTGCTCCTTCCTCGCCCCACACGTACAATCCTTTTTGGACTGTGGGCACGAGAACTCTTCACGAGAACAGTGGAGAACAAGGGATGTATGAAGACGGTGGTTACAGCGGCGAAACCTCTTTACGTGCATGGAATCGTCCCACCGTTGAACGTCTTCTCTCGTCGATAGGTGAGGACGTAGCGATGCTTCTTTTCCTGGGTAGAAAGGAAGTCATCATCTACTTCCATGCAGAAGCGTCACGCCATGTCCCACCCAAATCCAAAGGTCTTCCGGGGGAGACGTTACCGCATTCATATGCTACGAAATTTCGCTTGGAAAAGTCTCCCCCTCTTCACATGCTTCCGAGGCCATTCTTCTATATAGAATTGTCTCGAGAAGTGATTGGATACAGTCTCACGCACTTCCGTCTCCCTCACCTCCTCTCTCTGCTCTTTCTCCTCCTCTGTTTCTCTGTTTGGGATCATTAAAGGTGACGCCTTGGGCGGTAGTTTGGCCGGAGAAGCCGCTAAAGGTGACGTGTGAGGGATGGCGGGAGCCACCAACCCTTATTCCGGCGTGTGGAAGCTATACCAGCCTTTTTGGAAGCGGACGAATCTGCTGCGCCTTGGCGTCGTGGCCATCCTCTGCTCCGCCTCCTATTACCTGGGGATTTGGCAGCACGGGAGCGGCGCCACCTCCGTCACCTCCACCGTCGTCACGGCCGTCTCCTGCGACCGGAACCCGGCCGCCTCCCCCATCACCGGCCGCGCCGCGGCGCTCGACTTCGCCGTCCACCACGGGGCGGACCAGGCGGCGGCTGGGGCGCCGTCGGTCCGGGAGTTTCCGGCGTGCGACATCAAGTACTCGGAGTACACGCCGTGCGAGGACCGGGACCGGTCGCTGCGGTTCGACCGGGACCGGCTCATCTACCGGGAGCGGCACTGCCCTACGAAAGGGGAGCTCCTCAAGTGCCTAATCCCGGCCCCGCCGGGGTACAGGAACCCGTTCCCGTGGCCGGCGAGCCGGGAGACGGCGTGGTTCGCCAATGTTCCGCACAAGGAGCTCACGGTGGAGAAGGCGGTTCAGAATTGGATCCATGTCGACGGGGACAAGTTCCGGTTCCCCGGCGGCGGGACCATGTTCCCGAACGGCGCCGATGCGTACATCGACGACATCGACCGGCTTATTTCTCTAAGTGACGGGTCGATCCGGACCGCCGTCGACACCGGCTGCGGGGTGAGTGGTTCCTTCTATTCTCTACTGCCCCTGTTTATGCTCTTCCTTCTCGCTTTCCGGTTCTGGATGCCGGCGGGTCAACGCTGCTCCGGGCAATTATTGGATTTTGGGCAGGGCGAGATCAGAAAGATCTGTCTTTTTTTCGGCCATGATTCCCGGCGTCCTGTTGGCATTGGTTTTCGCCGTGGTAATGGAACAGGGATTACTGTTTCTTCCTGAAGAACACATGATCGTAGTTTCTCGAGATTAAATTCGATCAGGAAATCATGGGGTTATTTTGGACTTGCTTTTTTGCATTTAATTTCGGATCTGTGTCGGCCAATTAGATCGATTCATTATCTTGTTTGAGACTGGTAAATTCTGGCCAAAGTCAACTCTTGTTTCACCGTAAACTGGCGTTGAGGTCAACCCGATGGCTTATGCTTGAATCGGTGGTGTAATTTGTACACTGGATTCGTTCACCTTCTTCATATCAAGAAGCTATGAGAGCTCTTTGGATCTTTCTTGATTGCCTATTGTTGGATCATGCCGAGTGCAGGTGGCGAGCTGGGGGGCGTACCTCCTCTCCCGCAACGTGCTAACGATGTCGTTCGCGCCGAGGGACTCCCACGAGGCACAAGTCCAATTCGCCCTCGAGCGCGGCGTCCCGGCCATGATCGGCGTGCTCGCCTCGATCCGCCTCCCCTACCCGTCGAGGGCCTTCGACATGGCCCATTGCTCAAGGTGCCTCATCCCCTGGCATCTCTACGGTACTCGAATTCTGCTGCTCCTTAGATTTGGTTCTGCTTCTTGGATCCGCCCTCAAACTGTTTGTCGTAATCACTGTACGAAGATGGGCAGTACCTGATCGAGGTCGATCGTATTCTGAGGCCTGGCGGCTACTGGATCCTCTCTGGTCCGCCGGTTAACTGGAAGAAGCATTGGAAGGGGTGGGACAGAACACGGGAGGACTTGAACCATGAGCAATCAGCCATTGAAGCTGTTGCCAGGAGCCTGTGCTGGAACAAACTCAAGGAGAAAGGAGACATCGCGATCTGGCAGAAGCCTATCAATCATATCGGCTGCAAAGCTAATCGCAAGACGGTTAGATCACCCCAGTTCTGCCAATCACAGAATCCTGATACAGCTTGGTACGCTCTCGGACACGATTCACAGACAGTCAATCCAATGAAGTCTTATCTTTTCGGCTGATGATCTGCTAGAAATTTTGTGGTGGTAGGTACACGAAGACGGAGAGTTGCATAACCCCCCTGCCCGAGGTGGTCAGAGTCGAAGAGATCTCCGGCGGAGAACTGAAGAAGTGGCCTGAAAGACTGACGGCGGTGCCGCCCAGGATCGCGCGTGGAAGCATCGATGGAGCTACACCTGAGGTGTTCCTGCAAGATACAGAGCTGTGGAAGAACAGGGTTGGGTACTACAAGACGGTGATCAACCAACTGGGGCAGAAGGGGAGGTACCGCAACCTGCTCGACATGAACGCCAAGTTTGGTGGCTTTGCTGCTGCGCTGATCGATGACCCCCTTTGGGTGATGAACATTGTGCCAACAGCAGCTGATGTTAACACTCTCGGAGTCATCTACGAGCGTGGATTGATTGGAACCTATCAGGACTGGCAAGTGACTCAATTCACATATCTGATACTGTTGGTGCCGGAATCTGCTCTAACTCACATATCCGTTCATGGCAGGTGTGAGGCAATGTCTACATATCCGAGGACGTATGATCTCCTTCATGCTGATTCAGTGTTCACTCTTTACAAGGACAGGTAAGAAGGATTTGATTCTGCATCATGTAGCTGCTCATGTTCGACTGACAAGCTGCCATTCTTCTACTTCAGATGTGAGATGGAGGACATTTTGTTGGAGATGGATAGGATCCTGAGACCCGAAGGCACGGTGATCATTAGAGATGATGTGGATGCCTTGGTCAAGATCAAGAGCATTGCAGATGGAATGAGATGGAACAGTCGAATCATGGATCACGAAGACGGCCCTCTCCAGAGGGAGAAGCTCCTTCTGGTGGTGAAGACATACTGGACAGCTCCTGGACCAAACCAAGAGTAGGCTGCATAGCAGAGGACTATTAAGATCTTATTCTCTTGATTTCACTACTTTTTTTTGTTGTTGTTGTAGTTTGTTGTTGTAATTCATTCGATCCGAGCTGCCTCGATTCTCTTGGCACTTTGAATAGACATGATTATTATGATGCAAGAAGGGGGGTTGTATAAGAAATTTGTAATGTGAACCCTTACTGTTTTCTCATGTTGGTCCTTCACAGGTGAACAGGTTCTGCAGCTTCTCAACTTTTGTAAGTCTGCAGTAAGTACATACTTTGATCTCTTTGTTTTCCTTGAGGTGATGGAAAGATGATTACTGTACTGTGTTCAGGTACTGCTAAATTCCATGTACCTGAGAGCTGTGACCTCCTCTGCCATGAACTTACCAACAACATCATCTTCCTCGGCACAAAGTTTTCATGAACATTTCTTGGTGTACGATCTTTCAGCTTTCACTTTCAACCTGAATGCAAGCTATTCTGGTGATTCACACGGAGAGTGATGTTTTCGTATAAGCAGTTCAATTTCACTGTTCAGGTGGGTCATGCAATGCCACACCTCTCCATCTGTATTGACTGGGCATTGGCTATGTAACCTGCAACAGCTTGATCTCTGTTTTCAGAACTGATATGATGGCCTCCTTGGCTGAACCCAGGAATTTAGTCTCTGATCAGAAATAAAAGAACTAAATTGGTTCACAAGATTAGATGGATTTATAGTCGAGTTTGATTTGTCAACATGGTAGACTAACAAGATGGATAAACCGATACAGAAAATTTGCAGCCTCTCTGTTCATGGAAGGTTATCTTCCTTGATGTCAAGAGAGTTGGTAAATGCATGAGAGGGAGAGAGAGCTGCAGCTAAATGAGTATTATTTTTGGTGGGTGGGTGAGATTGCCAACTGATAGATCCCGGCGGGAGGGAGCAGAGATCCACCAAACCTGACGTTGACGTTTATTCGGATCAAGTGGATGAATTGTTGACCTTGAGAAGTGCATGCATGGCTGTAACGAAGTTGGGAAGCGTCCACCGACCATGGAATAAAAATGGAGCTTCTTGAAAGCGGCATCACTTCCAGCACTAGAAGTGGAAGCAGAGGTGTTTGCTTGGAAGATGGACTCTCCATGAACAGGGGATGCTCTGCTCTGCTCTGCTCTATCCTAAATGAAATGAAACTACTTGTTTGGATTTCAGAAAAAATTGCATCTTGAAGTTTTCCAAGTCAAAAATAAAACATAAATACATTTTTGCAATGAAATATAGAAGCAAACAAAAAGGGAACCGTAAGAAGGGACCGGAGGCGATGGACGACGACGGCTGAAGGCGAGGGCCATCGTGGAGGATTTCGCCGTCGGATCTATAGATCAGCGGGAGTTGGGGCCGGCGGCTCTTCGTAGCTGGAAGCGCTCCTTGTACCTCGGCTCAACTGGGCATGATAGAACCCCATGGTGGGCTTGTGCATTACTTTTCCTGATCGCTTGAAATCGAAGGTGTTTCCTTGCTCTTTATTATCTCTTCGTTGAATGCTAATCATCATTCTTGCTCGTTGCTGTTCTTGGAACCCTAATTCATCAGATGCTATCTTAGAAGTTAGAAATAAGTCATCGACAGCATCAACTTCTAGAGTTTCTTGGTTGATCTCCGTGCTAGGTGAGAGGCTCCACAGCTTTACTACAAACTTCTGCTTCATTTGCCCTCTTTTGTTGATCATGGCTTATTTAATTAGCTTTCTCAAATCTCAATGCATGTTTATTTACTTTCTGTCAAAGCATGTAGAAGAATATTTTGGAACTATTTTCAGGGCTACGACTATGAAATGCTATGGCACCAATGATCAAAATTGACCTTTCCAATAAAGTTTTTGGATTGCTGAATCGTGACATCAAAGCGTTTATATGATTGAATCATTCAAGATGGATTGTGTATGCACCCTGATATTTAACTGCATTTCACATATGTGCTATACAAGTGAGTTGGCTACATGTACTGCTTCCAATCTTTTGAGCCTTTCCTCTCTAGAAATTTGCAAACAATATCAAATTTAAAAAGCTTTTCTCTATTCAAGAATCTCTACTGGTGTAGAAGGAGAATTCAATAAGTAATGTATGGGCTTCCTGTAAAACATGTTTGAGTTCAGATGCACTTCCCTTGATGTATTTATGATTGACATACTACTCTATAGTGTAACTGCTTCAGTGAAAACTTGTGCTTGAAAGAAGTCTTTGACCTCCAAGTTAATTGTTGCTTGATGACTCATAAAATTATAAATTTTGCTTTGGTGGATGATAGTTTGCAATTTCTTGAAATTTGAATTTTGCATTCTTTCAGAACTTTCAAATTCATTCTAGCAACAGCAACATTCTATTGTGGTCACTAGGCCTCATCCCTGGAGTATCTTTAGAACATCAAAGCAAATGTATTGCTGGATATTCATTTGCATGATCATGTGTGTGTGCTGTATGCACAAATTATGTCACAAGGTCATCATTCAATATACAAATCCATTCATTTCTACTGATCTGTACACAGTGGCTGTACCTTTAAAATCAGAGTGGCTGGATTGGATGATTTAAAATCTTTGCATTTAAGGTCAAGAAGAGAATCAGGTGTGATCTAGTATTAACCTTTTAAAACTATGAGGCTGGCAAACCACCAAATTTGAATGTTTTATTACTCCCTAGTTTAAATGGTTTTTGTTGGTGACTAAAAATTGTAATGATGATAAGGCTAGAAGTGATGGTCAATGTTGGTCTATGTTTAAGTATCTTTGAAATATATAATTATGGGTGTTCTAAGTTATCTTGTTGATAGTCTTATTGAGATGAGCTTTGTAATAGGTATGCATTGGAATCGAGCCCAAGAAAAAAAAAATTATTCATGGATAATTCAAAAGGTATATGAGGGTATGAAATCACTATTAAGAAATGGAAAAGTGCCATGATGATATATAATTCTGGATAGAACTTTTTGATTATGAGGTTCTAAGGCTTCAAATTTTTGTGTGAGTATGGTTTATGATGCTGGTATGGTTGAAGAGTTATACAATCTGGTAAGGCAGTGGTAATATGTAAGATCATTAGTATTGCCCAATTGATGATGCCAAATTGGGTCTGGCACATTTCTATTGCCTGCTAGTTAATTAAAGGATGATCTTGTATGATGATGATGATGATCTCGATATCTTCCTATTTAGCATATAATTTTTTGCATGTGGTCTTTGCATCCCATGCTCAAGTTACGTGTAGATGTAACAATTTTGACCGGGACACACAATTGGCCAGAACTTACGTACAACTCTTTGACGTGTTACAGGTCGTCCCCACATCTTTGACTCGTCAGCGGGCGAGACATGGATCAGCTGGTGAGCGATTGGCTCGTTTGAAGCTACCTAACCAATTATTGAAGACGCGGCCGCACCGCAGGTCTCGTCCTTCTCACGCCCACTGTCCTATATTCCTGTTCGGTGTAACACGGTCGCATGGTTGGTGGGATGCGTCCACGAGAACCGACGCTCCATCCGCCTGCCACCTCATCCCTGCCCCATCGGGGTCCCCATCGATCGAGTCGAACTGACCGTCCGATCTTGCACGAGGCTTCAAATCTATCATTTGAGAGAGGGGAAACGAGTCTTCTCACACGTTGAACAGTTTTGCTGATCGTATGCCGACACACCGAACATTACTTCGAATTCAAAATGATTCGTGGGTCCGTCTTTCCATTGGTCAACAGCGTGCGGGTCCCATCCAATGGATGAAAAGAACAAAGAGGAATAACATAATGCCCACGATCTCGAAGGGCATAAAAGTAAAATAACCATCCCGCAGAATGCCTAATGATTTGTTGTTGCTATATCAACCACAGCCATTAGTAAAATAACCCTCTCGTTCACACGTGTCCTTTTCGATTTATTTTAGATTCAATTTCGCGCTCTTTTTTTTTTTTAAATAGAAGAATTAGATAAATGGACGTGTCGTAGGGGAGATGAGCTATTGAGTTAACGTGGGGAAGAGTCGAGGAGGAGCGGGGGAAAGAGGGCGGGAATGGGGAGAACCACGAGGTGGCTCCGTCGCCTTTTCGGCGGGAAGAAGGCGGATCCCGGCGGATACCCGGCGGAGGGCAGGCCGGCCAAGGACAAGAGGAGATGGGGCTTCGTGATGCCGTTCCGGGAGAAGGGGAGCAACCACCAGCACCGTCGGTGGCAGCACACGGCGGCGGCGGTCACGGAGGAGCGGAAGTACAGGGAGGCGGACGAGGAGGAGCAGAACAAGCGGGCGATCGCCGTCGCGGCGGCCACCGCGGCGGTGGCGGAGGCCGCCGTGGCCGCCGCGCAGGCCGCGGCAGCGGTCGTCCGGCTGACCAGCAGCGGGAGGGCTGCCGTGGGGTTCACCCCTGCTGCCGCCAGCAAGCGGGAGGAGAAGGCGGCGATCAAGATCCAGGCCGCTTTCCGGGGATATCTGGTTGGTTGTCTCCCCTTCTTTATCTCTTCAATTGCAGTCCAACTGTGTTTGTTGATGGCAATTCTATAAAATTACCTGGAAAAAAATCGAAATTTTAAGGTCTAATCTGTTCCTCAACTCATTGAATCACCACCCGCTGTTACAACTTCGATTTTTATCATCTTTGTTCTTGAAAAGCTTAGTTTATGAATCGCTTCCCAGAAGACCTGCAAGATGTAATTCTACGCGACGGCAGTCGTTTAATCGCGTAATCGTCGTCCATTTGGGCACTCCGGGCAGCGCCAAAAGCATCGATTTGCGGGCTTTTCATCTGCCTTGGGTGGAGTGAGCTGGTTTGCGTGATTCGATCCGATCCTGTCACCTAAAATTTGCCATGTATCTCAGTCTGTAGTCGCTATCTCCCTGTGTGCCTTGAATGGTGAACTCTTTTGGCCTTCCGCTTCATCTATTTCATCGGTTCCCTGACTGTATAGGGAGGGATCCGTATCCTCTGTTCTCTTTGGTTGTTGCAGTTTGCATTGGAAATGACTGCTTTTGTTTAGATTCTTTGATGCTGCTGCTTCTCCTCCTGCATACTAGTGACCATTCGACCCATTAAACTTGAGAACCACATTTAGGACAATTTGGTGGGATAGGTTCGATGCGGTTCAACTTCAATCTGGTTTCTTCTGCAAAGGAATCGGCTTCCTTTTTGTTCTTTAGAGAAATCTTGTGTTTGGTAAATTGACAAGTTGATGGTGTGAAGGCGAGGAAGGCCTTGAAGGCACTGAAAGGGCTGGTGAAGCTACAAGCACTGGTCAGAGGCAACATCGTCAGGAAACAGGCCGCCGAGACGCTGCGATGCATGCAGGCGTTGGTGAGAGTCCAAGCTCGCGCCCGGGCGTGCCGCGTGCTCCGGTCGGAAAGGAGCAAGTTCGAGAAGGCCCCCGGCGAAGGCCATGCCGTAAGCGTAGATCTTGTTTACCCTACAAGCTTGCACCACAGGATGCACATCGATGGAATCATGCTATTCTCGTCTGCAGAGAACTGTTTGGAGGCCGGCGAGTGGTGATCGGGACCGAGCAAACACTGCGGGATGGAACTGGTTGGATCAGTGGGTGGAGGAACGGTACTGGGACGACCCAGAATCCGCGAGGAAGACGGGGGCTGGTGTTTCGGTGGACGATGAGAAGAATGCTAAGATCCTGGAAGTGGATCCTGGGAAGCCACAGTACCATCACAAGCGCCGGAACACGTACGTCCACTCCTCATCCTCCACGCTAACTTCTGATCAGAACAGCTATAGCTTCGTAACCCTGCCCGGCTCGCCGTCGATGGAATCCACCGGGGCCCAGCGGTCGTTTCCTGGACAGCAGTCTATGGTCCACCTGATGCTTCCATTCGAGGCCGGCGAGTACGGGGAGAGCCCGCAGTTCTGCTCTGCTTCATCGCGACCTGGAAGCTCGAGGAAGGGGCCGTTCACGCCCTCGAAGAGCGAGTGCTCTCAGAGCCTGTGCTGTGGTTACTCGGACCACCCCAACTACATGGCGAACACCGAGTCTTCGAAGGCGAAGGTGCGGTCTCACAGCGCGCCCAAGCAGAGGCCAGACCGGCACGATCCTTGGGCGCCATTGGCTCAGAGGTCCTCTTCTTTGCACGCCAACTTCTCGATCAAGGCCTACCCGGGCTCCGGCCGGTTGGATAGGTCAGGGATGCCCGTTAGGATCTAATGAAATCTACCTCAGAGAGCTCTGCTGTTCATATTCTAAGATCAAATTGGATAATCTGATCTCCAATGTAAGCTTTTGATTGCTTCTGTCTTGCTGTAATGTAGGATTCAGCGAAGTGAATCCATAATGTTTGGTGTTTAATCTCTCTCTTTTATATCAGTCTGATTCCAATGCTTACAGGTTGCAGAACTTGTTCTTCTTCGCTCGACATCTCCTTTGGATAGAAGTACTCTCTCCTGTATAGATGACATAGTCTAATATAAATCACACCAGAGATGAAAAGTTATCGTCCCCTTGCGTTGCCATTACTTCATCTTTGCCCATAAAACCGAAGAATGACTTGACATTGTTGTCAGCAGAATCTTTGCAAGAATTGGGAACGCATGGATTTCTGCTTTCCGGTAGCGAGACTTCTACCCTCACTGGTCTTCATCATACACGCCCTACCGTGAGACGGCTCTTCGCAGTAAGCGTGAGAAAGAGATTGGATTCCTCTCCAAAAATGAGCTGCAGGCGGTCATGACTGGCACTAGATTCTCAAGTTGACACATCAGGAAGTGATGTCTATTCCTTGCCTGTCCATTTCAATCGAGCCCGTCGGTGGTGCAGTGGCTAGCTTTTTGTTTGGTAAATTGCCCTTCTGATGAAAGAAATGGCGACTGAAGACTTAAGTCGTCCTTTTCTTTTGGATGGACGTTCAGGAAATCTTTTCGATTGGACATTGAGAAAGCTCTAGTATAAATTTCATCCACTTGGGGAGACTATCCGCACTTGTCGGAAGGTCAAACATAGCTTTCCATCACCAAAGCTCTTCTCAAGGGTTTTTTTCTTTTTTTAATCTTAATTATTAATTCATTTCACGAAATCAATCGAAAATAAAACAAATAAAAACAATAAATTGGCGTCGCCCGGACTCGAACCGGAGACCTTCAGTGTGTTAGACTGACGTGATAACCAACTACACCACGACACCTTGCGGCAATTGTTCCCCTTAAAATATTATATATGAGACTCTCGAATGACACACGACGCAACCAAATCAACAACCATTTCACAACAACCTTTCAAGTAGCAGTTGATACGGCCGTTTCGTATACATATTTTTTTGTAAGCATAAAGTTACTAGCAGCAAAATATTTTTTGGTCACAGAAATCGTTTCCTACAATCCGCTACCGAAAACGAGTCGCGGAGCGCGACTCGCGCGTTTCAAATCGGGTCAAAATCATATAACAAGGGAAGCAGAAAAAAAGAATAGTAATAAAAGCGAAGACCACGAACCCAGCGTTTGACCGTCCGATCTCGATCAACCGAAAGGTGTACGGCCATGTTTGATGCCACGTGGGTTCGACCTCCAACCCCGTCGACCGCGAATTCTGATCTTAAAACAAAAGGCACAAAACAAAAAACAAAACCAAAGTACCACAGAGAGAGAGAGAGAGAGAGAGAGAGAGAGGAGGAAGGACAGGGAGGAGGAACTGGGTGTTGCATTCTGTTCCCCTCCCCCCCTTCGCTCTCTCTCGCTCTCTCTTCTTCTCTCGTCTTCCCGTCTCTTCTTTTTCTTCTTCCCAATCCAATGCGGATGGAGGAGAAGAGAGGGGAGGGGAGGAGCTCTCGTCGAGGCCGGTGATTAGGGTTTCGAGATCTCGGACGGCGGGCCGAAACATGCACATGATGCAGCGGCTGAAGAGCATTGCTTCGGGGCGGTCTTCGGTCTCGGATCCCGTGAGATTCCTAACTATCACAAATTTACTCCTATTTTCTCTTCTTGATTCCTCGGTGTGGTTGGTCCGGCTTACGTTCAGTTCGAATCTACTCATTCTTTCTTTTGAGTGCAATGATTAATGGGGATTCATCCATGTTGCTGGTGTTTTCTGGAAATCTTTAGCTCTGTTTGTTTTGGTGTAATTTAAAGTTTTTTTGTTGTTTATAGACGCCCAGAATGTTGCTAGTGATTTGCTGTTAGACAAAATAATTAGGGATAACCAACCAATTGCCACGAATGTCCAGATTGGCGAAGTTCACGTCATTAAAGTTGCTATTTGCCACAATGTAGCATTTCAATGATCATTCATTATAGGCATTACAACGTAATCCGATCACAAGCTTTTACAAGCATAAAGTAATACATTTTTAACTTCTGGAACTTTGTTTGACATTTTCCTGTTGCAAGTGATTCGCTCTCACTAAATGTTGAGGTCATTTAATTAACCTAGTCAGGCTGAAAAACAAAATGCCTTTGAGTTGGGGTTAGTGAAGTCTTAACAGTCCTGCGACCAAACCAAGCCATTTTCGATCATTATGGAACATGCCTGTTCTTCTATTTTTACCAGTTAGTCACAGATCTTTCCCTCTTATTCACAATCAAAGCTAGATAATCAAGACCAGAAGCTCATTTGACTTCTTACTACTGGGTTGGACTTGCTAAGTTGCCAAACATTTGGAGTGAAATTTTTTATTTGTTGGAACATGCTGTTTTGCTTCTCTGTGACCTTGTCATTGGTGGAGATAAGGCTCTGTTGGTGGGGTAAGGCTCCATTTCTTGCAACAACCAGGTAATATCGTCTTGAGGTTGCATATTGAGTTGAGCGAAAATGACCTAGCGGAGATGATTTCTGTTGTTGAGCAAGAGTAGGCCAAGTGAATTTCAATTAAGTGAACTTCTCTTTCTTGGATCCTTGACATATGGAATATAACTGGCTATATTTGGTCAAGCTATGTCTCAATTTGGTCATTTATGTGATCCTGATTCACTGAAACACAACTATCTCTGGACTTAAAGGTCACCGATGATCAATACAGTCTGAGCCTCCTTTTACTTCAAACATAACTATAGGCATTTTCTTCAAAATTAGTACTGCAATTGCAAATTATGCAAAGACACCCATGTTGCATGTATGCATCTCTTTTCCATATTATCTTTTTATTTTATTCTGTTCTGTTATTGTGAGACTATATTGTTGCATAAGGGTGGGGACTTAACGACCAAAAGAGCAAAGTTTGATCAAGAAGGAGGAGGAGAAATTCTTGTGGAGCGGCATATGGTTGATGATGTGGCTTCTACCGTGGATCTACATATATCTTCATCTCATTTGAATTTTGACGCAAGCACATTAACCACTGAACCTCCTGCGAGATTTGAAGGTGCAACCATGGATCAACTTCCGAGGGAAATGCATGGGATGACAATCCGAGATATTAAAACTGATGGCCACATTGAGACGGTTTGGATCTGTGTTTTGTTTTTCTTTAGAATATTCCTGCTATTTGTAAGTGAATTTTTTGGTTCATTTTAGTAATTCCAGTTCTTATTGTTCATACTACCCTTGCAGGAATTCGATGGGACAATGATTAATGGTAAAGGAACTATGACCGGACAGATTCTTGCAACAGTAATTGGTGGCCGGGATGGCCAGCCAAAACAGGTGCCTTTATGTTTCTGAAATTAAATTGGTCTACAACATTGCTTCTTTCTTCCATTTAATGTCATTGTTCTCTAAGCTTAGTGGATGTTTATAGTAATGCTTCTTTTTGCTCAGTATTAAAGTTTGACTGTATGCTGCTGCTGGTACTAGTCATAAAAAAAAAAAACTTTATGCAATTATTTTTCTTTAATTTAAGCTTTCTATAATTTTTTGTTCCGTGACTTATAACTAGCTTTTTGGCTTAGCATTTAGAAATTTATTCAATTCTTTTCCCTAGAGCATGGCTAAGTTTGTAGCTATGTAATTCAGGACATGTCTCAACATTGACTTGTTTTATTTATATGTTCTTGAATGCTGTCGGGGTTGCATAATATCTAACTTTTTCTTGTTGATTGGATGGAACCAGAACTTAGTCAACTTAGTGACTTATTTACTGTGTGTCAGACAATCTCATATATGGCAGAACGTATTGTTGGCACTGGTTCATTTGGTGTAGTCTTTCAGGTACTTCAGTCCTTCGGTTGGTAAAAACATAATATTTAATATTGTTCAATTGTAATTTTCATGATCGTGGTCTCTCATTGCACTTTTCTGGTGCAGGCTAAATGCGTGGAAACAGGGGAAGCAGTTGCCATCAAGAAGGTTTTACAGGACAAGAGATACAAGAACAGGGAACTTCAGATTATGCTCTTACTTGACCATCCAAATGTAGTTCAGCTAAAGCACTATTTTTTTTCAACTACTGAGAAAGATGAGATCTACCTAAACCTTGTTCTTGAATATGTCTCTGAGACACTTCATCGCACCGTGAAGTACTATAGCCGGATGAACCAGCATGTACCTCTCATTTATGTTAAGTTGTATACATACCAGGTGAATATTGATATTTCAAACTTTGTTTCACCACCATCTGCTAATAGTCCTTTCTTTACTAAAATAATTATTTTTTGTTTGATGGTGTAGATTTGTCGTGGACTTGCTTATATTCATCATGTTGCAGGGGTGTGCCATCGGGACATTAAGCCACAAAATTTGTTGGTGGGATTCTCATAATCTTTTTTTCTTTAAGATCCTTTGAGAAATTTCTTTTCTTCGTTAGATGCTAAAGCAATTTAGTGTTGATTTACCTCTTCTATGTGAAGATATAATGTTGTGATGTTGAAGATATAATATGATGGAATATGGAGGAACCATGATATATTAATCTTATACATGGGGATGAAATATCTGTGGCTAAGCCTCAACTTAGATCATAAATTCTTAGAATTATAATTATTTATTGAATGATTAGTTCATTGTTGTATTTGACAGTTAATCGAAGTATGCTGATTCCAAGATGTGATATGTTTCTTCAAAACTTGATATTTCTCTTTTTTTTTAGTCGAATCTTCATTGACATTTTCTGTATAAAGTCAGTTAGGACAACTTACTGACTCTTTTTGAATGCTACCAACTCTATTGTTAGGAAACCGCCTACTAGTTAATTTATGTAAGTTAAGAGTTCCAATGGGGGAAGGAAAGTAGCCAACCTGTTGATGTAGGCTGTCACATAATAGTGTTGCTCCACTCTGTGCAAATGAGATGCTGATATAGTGCTGGTATAGAATAAAGGCCAAGCCAGCAGTTGCAGGCATGTGATGGGTTGACATGTTATGGGCACAGCATGGTGCTTTGCACTAGAAATGCTTGATGGCAAGAATGATTTGTTTCGAGTAGTGAGGATGTGAAACTCAGAAACACTTATGGATGTTAATTTCGATGTCGTAATACTATTGTTGTTTTGTTGACTCATTTTGCAGGTCAATCCTCACACTCATCAATTAAAACTTTGTGATTTTGGCAGTGCCAAAAAGTTGGTAGGTCACATTAAATATGATTGATCATTTGATGAATTTGTTCTCATCTTTGACATCTAATGATCCGATTTCAGGTTCCAGGAGAACCTAATATATCATACATTTGCTCACGGTATTATAGGGCACCTGAGCTTATTTTTGGGGCTACAGAGTATACCACAGCTATTGACATGTGGTCTGTTGGTTGTGTGTTAACTGAGCTTCTCATAGGACAGGTAAACAGCATGGTGTTGTTAAACTCAAATGTATTTTATGAAGCAGTCTGGCATTGGATGATTCCATAGGTTTTTTTGTCCATCTAGGTACCACACATACGATAAAGAATTTACTGAATACTATCTTTTTAAGCTATATGTTGCTCGTTCTTGAAGAAAACAAATGACTTAACTTTGTGAAACTTCAAGTTTAATAGAGTACAGAGGAAGATCCTGAGCAGCATGGAGATTTAATGGATGAATGGTGTGGATGTAGATCTGATAACATGTTGTTTGACTGTAAACATGCTGTTCAGTTGTGTCTTGTTGAACCAATTGACATCAGGTATATCCTGCCAAATAAAAAGATAGGATTTTTCTATCATATATTATTGGCATCATCAATGCTTGTTAGTTGTGTTATAATTTAGATTAAGGAACTACAAAAAAGAAAACACCCTAAGGGTGCATTTGTACTTCTTGGAAAAAGGGAAATGACAGGATCAGATATATGGAGCAATCTTCATATTAAAGGCATAAATAGGGCAATGAGAAATAGCTTCTTGGGTTGTGAAGGTAAGGATATGTATATATTGGCGGGAGCCTTGAGCAAGATGCTACCCTTTTTTAGCCATATCCCCTAAAAGGTTAAATATATCATGGTAGTAGTTAATTAGTTTTTTTTTAATTTGAAAAAACCTTTCTGACATTCTTTTCCATTATTTCATCATCCATGATAATACCTTGTAGTTCATATTATGCTTCTATAGTTTCTTTGTTTTGTATCTTTTACGTAGATACCTTCTTACTGAAAATGTATCATCATTGTTTGGGCAGCCTTTATTTCCTGGGGAAAGTGGTGTTGATCAGCTGGTGGAAATCATTAAGGTCCTGTATCCATAGATGGTATTATGTGCATCTTGCTTCAGTAACATTTTATCCACTCAATCTTAATTCTATATGATTGTTGTTGCTGTGCAGATTTTAGGCACCCCAACACGAGAAGAAATCAAGTGTATGAATCCAAATTGCACAGAATTCAAATTCCCTCAGATCAAAGCTCATCCTTGGCACAAGGTTAGTCAAGGTAACATATATTATTAGAAATCGTTTAATAGATACAAATGATTAAATCATAATGCCTTTGCAGCTTTTCCACAAGTGGATACCTCCTGAAGCAGTTGATCTTGTATCGAGGCTGCTTCAGTACTCGCCTAATATGCGTTTTACATCTGTAAGTACTCTTGAACAAAGTAATTAGTGTTTTGCACTAAGTCTAGAGTTTGAATCTGTCTAGGGCTTGTGACTTTTTCTGCATTGTTCACATTCTAATCAATGATGAATGATGTTGCATTTATTTAGTCATCATTTTGCTTTTTTTCATCGATGCTGCAGCTGGAGGCCTGTGCTCATCCATTCTTTGATGAGCTGAGAGACCCTAACACACGTTTGCCGAATGGAAACCCCCTTCCTCCTCTGTTCAGCTTCACAACTCAAGGTAGTGCCCTGCTTTCCTTTTCACTGGGTTCCTGGGGAAAGCTGTCCATAACTCATCCAAATATGTTTGCAGAGCTTGAAGTTGCTTCCCCTGAACTGGTACGACGCCTAATTCCTGAGCATGTGACGTGCAGTCGATGACCATAACATCAAATCTGCTGGTACTCTGAAGAACTCAAAAGTGGATCGCATGACATCTACAACATCCTTCGCATGTCTGTAGCCCTGAAGTGACTGATGATCGGACATCAATCTGATTCGTAGGAAGACAAACATATTTGAAGGAGATTTTTATTTTGCGGTAAGGCAGAAATCTGCCCACTTGTTTTTCCTATCGTTATGGAGAACCTCGAGAATTTTTTAGTACATTTCAAGGAGGCTTCAGGGCATCGCAGGAGAAGCATTAGTTTCTCAGAGATATATGTTTGTACCATGTGATGGATGATGATAAATCACTTACCAGTTGTTGTAGATTCACATTATGAGGTTAATTCAAGTGTTGCCGAAATTTCATTGTATGCAGTGTTTGATGATCTAAATGTGCTTTGACACAGCTTATTGTTTGTTGTTATATTTCTCTTTTGTCGCAAAATCAGACATTATAAGGGTCTCTAAGTTTAAAAAAAATATATATTAGGCAAAATTACACCGATAAATTTTCCTCTAAAGTTAATCATTTTATAATTTATCCTCCTACATTTAAGTTTAGCTATATTTTGCTACGATACTAAAAATTTTTAGTTAATTGTTGGCACAACACAATGATGTCAAAACTCTAATTGACATGTAGAAAACATATATTTGAGAATGAGAAGGATATTTTAGATTTTATTAATTTAAATCTGACTCGCCGTGAAGTTTATAACGGAATCGTTAAGTTAGAACATAGTAATTATTGAGCTTTATTCTGCTAAGCGTACCGCGTGGCACGGTGACCAAACTCCGACGGCAGGACGGTGTCCGGACTTTTTGGTGCTCTTACCGTCTTCAACTCGGGCGTCGAAGTGCCCCGAAAAAAATTATATCGGTCCATAATCGTCCAATGTTCACCAACTTACTCTGACGCGCGGTGACCAGACTCCATCCTTGCAATGGAAAGTGCCTGGAATTTAGCTACTCTTGTCGTTTATTATCGGGCGATAAAAGTGGCCCAAAACACATCATATCGGATCATAATCGTCCAAAATTCACGGTCTTATCCACATCGCGGTGAACATACTCCATCTCCGTACGTTGTTACCGTAATCCAATAATTAAAAGAGCGATTCATAGATGACAGCGATTTAGTGTTTTCGTGGGCTGCAGGCAATAATACAACGGTGTTCTTCGAGACTACATGTTTTATAAAACATGCGTTTCCTGAAACATCATCATCAGAAACGTTTTTTTTTATTTTTTACGGAAACGTTCTTCTCCACTTAGCTGCTGCTGCCACTACTCGAGGTTGGTGTGACGGGACCGGAGTTGGGCGGGAGTCTGCTTCAGTGCATCCGTCAGCCGCAGCACCGCCATCTCGAACAGCACGTACATCGCCCCCTCGTACAAGCTCCCCATCGGCAACCTCACCGCCTGTGACGGACCACCGCCCGCCTCCTCATCGTCCGCCATGGTCTGGGCAGGGATGTAGGCCACGGCGTCGGCGCACCGGCTCGCGCCGCTCCCGGAGCCCGGGCGCGCGGTGAGAAGGACCACACGGGCGCCGGCCGACTTGGCGACGCCGCAGATGGCGTCGACGGTGGAGAACCCGCCGGGGCCGGCGGACGCGAGGAGGAGGTCGCCGGGGGAGATGGGTGGGGTGGTGACGTCGCCGACGACGTGGGCTGGGAGGCCGAGGTGGAAGAGGCGCATGCAGAGGGCCTTCATCATCAGCCCCTCGCGGCCCACCCCGTGAACGAAGACCCTCCCGTTGGCGGCGGCGGTGGCAGAGACCTCCGCCACCAGAACGTCGAGCGCCGGTGGAAGGGGCGGAGGGGGGGAGGAGAAGACGGATCGGATCTGGTCGCAGATCTGGGCCGCCATGGCGGCAGCGGAGGTGTGGCCGTCGCCGCTCATACCTTATCCTCGCAACCCCAAAAAGGACTCTTCTTTCGCCACAAACGGCGATTGTGCGTTATTAATCTTCTTCCTTCGTCGAGTGATCTCCTTAGCTCTTAATGGAAATTTTAACTAATGTTATTATCCTATAAAATTTAATATGATTGTAATAATATTAGAAGCGTTTTAGATTTTAAAATTAATTTGAACTTGATAGGAGTACATCATTAATTAATCATCATTTCACATGTATCAAAGGCGAAAAGAGAAAATGGAGATCACTTGCCACACGACTAGCTAGCTACGTGAACAAGGGTCCAACGATTATGAACTGTCCACTCTTACTCCACGTGGATAAAAAGTTAAGAAAAAGTTATTGGAGGCAATTAGAGATTACCTCTTATATAATATTTTATGAAATATTTTATCCTTTTCAATACAAAGAAAGAAAGGATTACCGTTTTTTATGACTGAGTTCACACTCATATACCTTGAGTTATTAACTTGGATCAGAAAAGCTCTCGACCTCAATCTTTGTGTGTGTGGCACCTCGTGAGTTAGGTGTTTTCACCTTCGAAACACCTCAGATAACTTCTTTCTTTAATATTTTTGTCACTAGTAGAAAGATCGAATGTCGTAGGAACGTTCGCTTGTCGATCATCTCAATAAATACTTGTGCGAGGTAGTTTTTCTCCCGACCCATAATACTTTCATTCAAGAGGGGAAGTAACCATTTATTTATTTTTATATATGGACGCATCCACCTTAGGGTTGTCATTCACCCAAAAAATATAGGAGGAACCATTTCTAATGAACTTCTGCCTCCCGTCGTTAGAGAAATTTGATGGTAGTGCCAACCCGATAGAATACATTGCAACCTTTCGTGCCCAAATGTCATTGTATGACACTTCGAATGCCCTAATGTGTCATACCTTTCCGATCACATTAAAAGGCCTAGCATGAGAATAGTACGCTCACCTGGAGTTGCTTTCCACAAATTCTTTTGCCCAGCTCACGAGGGAGTTCGAACTTCACTATCTCAGAAATGTGCACTCGAGGCCATTAGCGACAACGCTTCTTGGACTCAAGCAAGGGGAGGAGGAAACAATTGCAAACTTCCTTGCTCGGTTCACTAATGAAATCCAAAGCATAATAGATACCCATCAGTGACTCATAATATAAACATTCATGATGAAACTCAAGCTCTCTCATCTATTTTAATCATCGATAAAGAGACAATCAATGATGGCACCAATGATACTTTAAAGAGACAGCATGAGGAGTCATGTAAGTGGCCGAAGTGTAATACCCTAAGGTCATCATGACGAAGGAGAAATGAATAACCCGAGTCACCTCGCCCAAGGTTCGAACTGACTCTCCTGAATATAATCAGAACTATAGTTTTTCTATAGATAAAAGAGAAGGGGTTCTTAAAAGACTCTCACCCATGAAGACTCTGATAGTGAAAAGAGATATGTCCAAATATTATTAGTTCCACCAAGATTACGACCATAACACTGAAGATTATTGTAACTTGAAAAAGTAGATCAAAGAACTCAAACGTCAGAGACACCTTGGGTGATTCATTCATAAGCACCGAGAATCTTCACCTCGACCTCAGGGATTAGTGGAGAGACAGATTGATGTCATCATTGGTGAATCCACTTTAGGGGGAGATAACTCTTCGGGTTGTAAAGCATATACCTAAGCTACCATTGTGAAGCACTTAAGCACAGAGGGTGACTTGGTGATAGCCTTCAAGGAGGAAGAGATAAAGTACCTTGACCCAAATAATAATGATACCTTGATAGTATCTATAAGGATAATCAATGCTCGTGTGATCAAGGTTATGATTAATACAAATAATTCTGCCAATATCATTTACTTTGATCTTTTTCAAAAATTTAAACTCTCAACTAATGATCATACCTTAACGACTTCTTCGCACACATAATTCACTAATGACTCTGTCTTCACTCTCAGAGCCGTGAACCTATACTAAAATAATACTGGCTAAATTTATGATGATAGATATCTCTTTAACATATAACATAATCATAGATCGATCCATATTGAACAGACTGATAACGATATCGACCAATCATATGATGATAAAATTTGTAACGAGAATCAAACATAAAAGAGATAAGAGTAATCTAAGAGAGTCCTATTAATACTATCTTACAACAACGATATCTCCCTACTAAAAAAAGCCTAATATGAGATACCATTTATGGGCTTTCGAGTGGAGTCACCTACTAAAGCCTAATATGAGATTTCGTTAAATCCGTTTCACCTCACTGACTAAAGCATCCTTAGACAAAATCAGACATGAACGAGTTGTCAAAAACCGGACATTACTTCTTAAAAAAAAGACAAATGCAACTTTTTTTTGGAGAAGGAGGTGTTGACATCGTAACTTAAAATCACCAAAAACATCCCGAACATTTCCCCTAGTCATGACCTGAACATCAGAAGCCCGGGCGGGCAGTGAGGAGGACTACTCGGGCAGTGACGCCGCAGATGGCGTCGACGGTGGACAGGCCGCCGGGGCCGGAGGAGGCGAGGAGGAGGTCGCCGGGGGCGATGGGCGGGGAGGCCAAGGTGGAAGAGGCGCATGCAAAGGGCCTTCATCATCAGCCCCTCGCGTCCCACCCCGTGGACGAAGACCCGATGTTTCGCTACGACCGGGCAGATATGCTTGCTTAAAGTGAAGGTCGTTAAAGGTCCATCAACCGCTAACCGAGTCTAATTGGGTTTGGCTTCCCGATGTGTTCGATATGGGTCGAGTCATAGACAGCTCAATGAATTACTGACAACACAGTGTCCCAAATCTTGGAGTCTAACAACTTTAAATAAATTGATCTTGGAGAAAGAATCCATTTTATTGTTTCTCTATTCTCGAAATACTTAATCAAAGATTACGAAAAGAAAATTAGTACGTCACTTCCACTTCACAACCCTACACCGGATGGCTTTCTATGCACGGGCTAGTGATTTAATTGGAGTCTCCCCACGTGTAGGTTCACTGAGCAGTACAAAAGGTAAAGCTGTAGTTTAGAGTGATTACTTTGGTGATTGATTAAAAAGAGAAAGCCAACATTTTGGATAAACAATGATCAAATATTTGGCAACTCCCAATTGGAAAATTTGTGACTAAAATCTAACTATAATTAGCTGAGATTAGGACTGAATAATTCCAAAATATAAGTTTATTAGAGTCTTGGGAATGGCTGGCTGGTGAAGAAACAGCGAAAACTAAAGGAGCTTCAACTCAGGTTTGCTAACTGTCTTCTTACCAAAATCTAACCTGAGCTAAATATTTACATTCCACGTTATCAAGAAACAGAAGGTGGTGGGTACTTGTCAAAAGATAATCCATCGATTGTCCATCATATCTGATCCATCAAGGTCGAGGCCTGTAGCCATAAGGATTCTTGAATGCCCAATTCCATTGGTCTCTGCACATCTCCTCTATGCCATA